CAATGTCAAAGAAAGAGATGTTGAAGTGGGGAAACCATACGAAGACGAAGATGGTATAAACAATTGTTCCTGTAAAAGAACAACCAACATACCCTGAAGTTAGCAGAGACTTAAGTTCTGTTGCAGATATTCGAAACGACTACCAACAACTTAAAGACAAACTTCAAACTCAGGAGAAGATTTGTCAAGCTTTAAGTATAATGTTAAACTTGGTCGAACACAACCCTGTAAAAGTGAACTCATATGTCATTGCACCTCATGAAGTTTTTGAAAGAACTATTGAAACTTTTGACAGAGGCAGACGATATAAACATCAAAGAAAAGAACCCGACGTTAGTTGCTGTGGTGTTTCATATAATGTCATTGACAAGATATACGTTATGAAAGGAGGTGAAACGTTGAACTTAAAATATAGTTTCCCAGACGTTATAAAAATATTTGACGACCACAACATTTCATTAAAATTTATTTGCTAAGTAAATGGCAGAAGACATACTTCTGTATACTATAACAACAAAGAACCCTGAGTCATATAATTCTATAACAACAAACTTACAAAGTCCTCAAGGACGATATTGTAAACTAACTTTAAACACAATGACGACTAAAGCTTGTTTTGCTCTTTTGACACCAGAAGATTTTATGTTGTGAATGGTAAAAAATACTCCTTTGAAGATACTTACTCGGATATACCACCAACAGGTTTTGTTGACTTATTTAATACTTTAAGGACGGGTGTAACATGTGCTGCAACTAGAGCAGGTTTTTGTTTGGATGTCCGACTGAGTTTTATATAACAAATGAGCTATAATACAAAACTTATATCTGGTTTTTACTACCAACAGTTTCCTATAACAGGAAAAGGTGTCATACAAGGAATGTCTGTTCCATTGACTTTAAGTACACCTATTTTATATATTGTTTCAAACTTAGGTTCAAAGTGTTATTCGAATGTCGACAGAAACTACTATGACCAAAAGATACTTATGCGTATAAATAACATATTCTCTGCTGGTTTGCCTATTGTTCATTCGAATGCAGAGTTTTCAGCTTTAGTAAACTCAAACACTTTAGCAAACATAAACTTAACCTTAGTTGACGCAAACTTTGTTCCTGTAAAACTTTTATGTCCTATGTATTTGTCAATGACGGCAGAAAGTTTCGAATTGGAAGATGCAACTGGTGAAAGTATTGTATTACAAGAACAACTTCAACAACAAATAGCTCAAGAACAACAAATGCAACAAATGCAACAACAAAGTCAAGAATAAAATATTTTTTTTATTTTTATAAAAATGTACAGAATAGATGTTTCAGATTTTTATGACTTCCAAGCATTCAGAAATATGTGTCCATTTAGAGACTATAACAAAGCAGTCGAGAATTTGAAACGTTTAGTCATTTATGTTGACTCTGCCCAGAATGTTATGTTATGAAAGAATGGGATGTAGTCTTTAACAAACCAAGAGCAACAATAGTTTCAGAACAAGAATGTAGACAGAAACTTAAGAAAATAAAAGTTGTACAAGTTGGAATGAAGATGTTAGATGCTTGGGATATCTTATTGTCAAAGTTAGAAGATTTTTTCAGTTCGAGGTATAAAGTTCTATACACCTTCTCCAAACTTCTATTCTATCTTCACTGGATATAAATACGAACAAGTAGAATGGAAAGAAAATATTATAGAAGCTTGGTTAGACCATGTCAAAGAAATTATATGCAATGGAAACGAAAGAGTCTATGAGTATATCTTATGTTGGTTTGCAAACATCTTACAACATCCAAGTGCTAAAAATGAAACGGCTCTCATTATAATTGGAAAACAAGGAACTGGTAAGAACACATTCTTTACAGATATTTTGTGCAAACTGTTAGAAGGTTATTCGAACCCGAATATGACAAACTTAGAAAACATCTGTGGCAAGTTTAACTCCTCAATAGAGAATATGAAACTTATAGTTTGCAATGAACTTCAAAGTATAGATACAACAAAAGTTTTGAACTCAGATGCTTTGAAGAGTCTTATAACAGACAAAGTTGGAGTTGTTGAAAGAAAATATAAAGACCAAAGAGTTTGTGAAAAATGTTGCAAACTTCATTATGGTTTCAAACAATGCTGTTCCGATGAAATTAGAAAGTTCTGACAGAAGATATGTAGTTGTCAGAACGTCAGATTCTCATATGCAAGATACAGAATATTTTGACGACTTAGCAGAAACTTTGACATCTGACTTTTACAACCACTTGTTCTCATATTTCATGACATTAGATATTTCAAAGTTCAATCCAAGACAAATTCCACATACCGAAGAGAGACAAACATTGTTAGAAGCAAACAAGAGTGTATATGAACTGTTCATAGATGAAACTGACTTTGTGTCATTAGATGAAAGGTCATTGTACGATTCGTATAAACAATATTGTCAAGAATATGGTTATATGACAGCGTCTAAACGAACATTCTTGGCAAATGTCAAAAGTCTTTTAGACGTACAGAATGGTGTATACAAGAAAAATTTTTATGAGTAAATTTAAAAAAAATATTTTTTATCCGATAGAAAAGATGACGAAATTCATCTCAGTAAACAAGTACATGTCAGGACTTAAAGAAGAACTAGACCCATTCACATATTTGAATGTTTACTTCTACCATTTTGAAAAGTCTTCATTCAGCAAAGTTTGGAACATCGAAACCAGTTAAGTTTGCTATTGTGACTAAAAATGGTGCGAAATTTGAAGACTTAGACATAGAAGGTTTGTTAACAGTCAAAGAAAGTTTTGACAGAAGGTTCTCAAACCTTAAAGAAGGCAAAGCATACAAACTTGTTATACCTTATGAACCAAAGAAAGCAGACGACTATGAATATTATGAGTCTAAAGTTGTAGAAGTTCAAGGTAAATTGGGTAAAAAGATTTTAGAGTCTAAGCCAGTGTTTACTCCTAAAGAGGAAGAGAACATTGACATTGACCCAGAAATGTTCTAAAAATAAAATTTTATTTTTACATGTCAAATTTCTTCTTCTCTGGAACTGGTTCAGGTTCTTTCTTCTCTTCTTCTACTTTCTTTTCTTTCTTTTCTCTCTTCTTCTTTTCTGGTGGAGTTATGTCAAACTTCTCAGAACCATATTTATGTAAAAGTTCTTTGTCCTTTAATAGCTCTTCTATTCTGTTTTCTATTTCATCTTCAAGAACAGCGCATGTGTCTTCTTTGCATTCTAAGAAGTTTTGTTGGACTTCATCTCTCCAAGAGGCGTCATCTCTGTCAACAAGTCTGTCATTGACAAATTTTTAAGACTGCTCTGCTTAATGTTTTATGGTTCTTGTCATATTCCCAGAAACAGAACTTTAGAACAAATTCACCTTTCTTGTTTACACTATGTAAGATTTTATGGTCGACAGATGTTTTGCTGTCGAAAAGCTTGTCTCGAATATAGATAGCGAAATCGCTAGACATTTTCTAAAAGATAAAAATTTTAATTTTTCTAAAAATATGTTAGAAAAAAAGTTTGCTGACATTGACAAGAAATTTGAGAATGTTTTAAACAAGAACAAGAGGAAGTTAGAAATGCTCAGATAAAACCCATACATGACAAGTTCTTATTTTGCTCAGAATGGTATAACAGGTCTAATTGCACCACCTGGGTCTGGTAAGACTTTCACTTATCTTAAAATGGCTGCACAACAACAAGAACTAGATGAGAAGAACCCATTCTATGAGTTAGTTGTTATTTGTAGTACTTCTGGTCAATTTGACCAAACCCAATTGTTCAAAGATATTATAAAGAAGTCTAAGTTAGTATGTATAAAAGACTCTGAGTTGTTAGATTGGATAAAGAAGTACCAAAGAAGAGTTTTGAAGTATAATGCTATAAATGAGTATATAAATTCTAAGTTTAAAGACCCAAATGAGGAAATGCAGAGAATATTAGAGAAGAAACACTTCAGAAACAAACAGAAAGAGATAGAATACATTTCGAAGAAATTGCAATCTTACGATTGGAAGACTTACCCTCATAGATGTCTTCTTATCTTAGATGACTTTGCTTCTCATCCTTTGTTAAAGAATAGAGAACAAGACATGTGTCGAATTCTTAAGAAGCTCAGACACTTTAACATCTCAGTTGTCATTTGTGTACAGACAGCAAAGAGTTTAAGTAAGGATGTTAAAAAATACTTACTGACATTATACTTTTCCCTGGATTGTCCGAAGACGATTTCATGGAACTTATGAAAGAGTCCATGGCAGGTAAGTTTTGACAGACATGAACTATGGGAGAAGTACAAAGTCATACAAGACCCTCATACTTCTTTCAGAATTCATATCTACGCAAACAAAGTTCAAATTGTAAAAAGTCAAGCGTAAAAATAAAGAGTGCAATTTACTCTACTTGTTTGAAGTTGTCAAAATACTCTGTTATTTTTTCCTTTAACAATGGCAAATCTTCTTTGAAGGTAAGTATTGTACAACCTTTCATATCATAGTGTGTTTGAGGTAACGTATCTTGAACTATTTGTTTCACATCTTCATTCGGTGTCATTGAAATCGGTAAGTTTTCGCGATAGAACCAATTTCTGTCAGATTTGTAAATCTTAGCAAGGTCGTAAAAGCTTTTGTTGTTTCTTCTGACTAAATGCAACATAACCATGTCACTGTCTTCTTCATTTTCCATCTCTTCAGTATAAATCATATACTTATAGTTCTTTTCCTTTCCTTTTGGTACCGAACGTGGTATTCTTTTCTGAATGTTTTTGTCTTTTGCTTCAATGACTTCATCTTTTGCATGAAGTTTCTTTTCCATCTCTTCACGTTCTTGTCTATGAATTTCATCTAACATCATGAAAATATAACAAGCGTAACGAGGTGAAGCCCACATTGCAACAGCATTTACAAGAAGTCTATGTCATACCAGCCTCTCAAACCATTTAGCAAATTTACGATTTTCGTACGGAATCTCGACCCGCGGTTTTCCTCGGGTCGCAAACATATGAGGAAATTCTTCTAAAAGTTCTTTTGTCTGTTGGTTTTCAAACCAATGATGTGCTTGCTTTGTAGAACGAAGAGCATTCAAAATACTTTGCATTTGGTACATATCGTCTTTGACCGAACGAATGAGACGTAACTGTTTGTTATACTGTATGTACTCGTATTCTTCATTTATAGCTTCATGGACTATAACTGTTGTTGTGTTCTCTGTTGTTGACATATCTGTCCTTACATACAAAATAAAAAAATAAATAAAAATAAAACTAACTTTATTTTTTCTATCTTAAGGAAATTCATGATTTTCATAGAGTTTTGGCGACTAAGGTTTCTTACCTACTCGCTGTTCTTCACTGTTTTCATAGAGTTTTGGCGACTAAGGTTTCTTACCTACTCGCTGTGCTTCACTGTTTTCATACGGAATCTCTTCTCTCGGTTTTCCGAGGGAAGCAATCTTATGCCATTTTACTCAGATTTTTGTGCTGAATTCAGCAAAAATATATTTTAGGGTAGAAGGTTAGATCTAACCTGTTTTCTAACCTGTTTTCTACCCTCGTGAATTTTCATGATTTCATCGTACATGTTTTGTCAAGACTTCTTCGTAATGAGCGTAAATCAGACAAAAATATATTTTAGGGTAGATGGTTAGATCTAACCTGTTTTCTAACCTCTTTTCTCACCTCATGAATTTTCATGATTTCATCGTATATGTTTTGTCAAGACTTCTTCGTAAATGTTTTGTCAAACATGAACGTATATGTTTTGTCAAACATGAACGTATATGTTTTGTCAAGACTTCTTCGTAAATGTTTTGTCAAAACTTCTTCGTACATGTTTTGTCAAAACTTCTTCGTAATGAGCGTAAATCAGACAAAAATATATTTTAGGGTAGAAGGTTAGATCTAACCTGTTTTCTAACCTGTTTTCTACCCTCGTGAATTTTCATGAATTTTCCCGAAATAAAAAATAAAGTTAGTTTTATTTCATTTATTTTGTATGTAAAGACATGATTTCAGGGATTTTTTTGACGAAGTGAAGGTTGACACTTCGTCAAATTTTATAAAAAAAATTAGCGTTATTTTCTGACTTTCACAAAAGACCAAAAATAAACGCTTTACATGTATTTTTCAGCAACTTCGTCAAATAATTTTATAGCTTTATCTATCTCATCTACTTCAAACGTTTCTTTACCTTTTATGGGAGCACCATACATTTTCTCAAACTTTTCAAGTAGTTCTGTTTCAGCAGCTCTCATATCATTAGCAAACACAACCTTGACTCTATTGACTGTACTGTCATATCTTTGAGTTATATTATATGTTCTTCCTATCTTATATCTTTTTGTATTGAAGTCCTTCGGTTTCTGAACGATGTAAAGTAAGCCTTCACTGCAACGTTCCGTATCGAATGAACCATATGTTATGAAGTTATATCCAACAACTGTGGTCTAACCATAACAAAACTATTGGTATAAGACTTTTGTCGATGAGATATGCTGTAGTTCCATAAATCTTACCGATATCATAAGCTCAGGATTTTCTTTTGTCAAAATTTTTCTGAGTAGAAGCAATTCTAACCCAGTCCTTCGGTCTCTTTCCAGATGGAGATAAAATGTCTGACAAAGAATATTTGTTGTATTTCTTTGAGTATCTTACGTTTAAATCACCTATTCTAACCAATTTGGTGTCATTGTCTATCTTTTTAACTGTTTCAAACTCAATGTTTGACATTTCTTTCTTTAAGTCAGCATAGTCGTTTCTCATTCTTTCTATCTCTTTGACGGAGTAGTTATATTTCCTAATTGCCGCTTTACATTTAGAACATTGCGGGTTCATTTTTGCGTTATATTCTGAAACCTTACCTGCTAGAACAACTAAAGCGTCAATTGCTCTCTTCATCTCAAAACATAGCGGGTCTTATTTGTTTGTTCCATACTTTGCCTCTTCTATCTTTATCTCTTATCTGCCATACACATTCAGCAACTAACGAAACAAAGTTGTCGTAGGTCTTAAATTCTTCAGATTTATATATGTCAGAAACATTCTTATATACCATGTCGCAATCTTTGTCCATAACCTTATGGTTGCAATGAAATCCAAGGAATTCATAGTTTACCTTTCGTATGAACTTCTTTATTTCTACTGAGTCAGTTGCTTTGACTTCAATTTCATCGAATTCAGGAATAGTGAGTTTTTGTTGTTGGATTTCAGGCAATTTGGGTAAATGTTCCACCAGGTCCTGCATGTCGTAAAGATACTGTTCATTTTGTTCATCTTTCGCACAACAGTCCAAAGTACTTGTTAAAAGTTCCTGCTTTATCTTCTGGATTTCTGTTTCAAAAGTATATGAAGAAGGAATGAAGCTTTTCATTTCTACTAACATAGATGTTGGATTCATGACTAACGAGTTTGGTGCTGTTGTTTGAATTGTTGTTTGTGCTTCGACTGACATTTCTGTTCTTTTATACAAAATAAAAAAAATAAAAAAATAAAACTAACTTTATTTTTTATTTCGGGAAAATTCATGAAAATTCAAGAGGGTAGAAATGAGGTTAGAAAACAGGTTAGATCTAACCTTCTACCCTAAATTATATTTTTGGGTCCTTTACGCTCATTACGATGAAGAAGTCTTGACAAAACATTTACGTTCATGTTTGACAAAGCATGTACGAAGAAGTCATGAAAATTCAAGAGGGTAGAAAACAGGTTAGAAAACAGGTTAGATCTAACCTTCTACCCTAAATTATATTTTTGGGTCCTTTACGCTCATTACGATGAAGAAGTCTTGACAAAACATTTACGGAAGAAGTCATGACAAAACATTTACGAAAGAAGTCATGACAAAACATTTACGAAGAAGTCATGACAAAACATTTACGAAGAAGTCTTGACAAAACATTTACGAAGAAGTCTTGACAAAACATTTACGAAGAAGTCTTGACAAAACATTTACGAAGAAGTCTTGACAAAACATTTACGAAGAAGTCTTGACAAATTCAAGAGG